CAAGGGTGGATTGATTGCAGAAATTTACTCAATTTTTGGCACAACTCAAGGAGGGAAAGATTTCTAGATCGGATACTTAAATAGTATCAGTTTGAAGGGGTAAATTAACCGTAATGATTTTAAAAAGGTAACGATTTCTAGGGTCTTCTTTTCTTTCTATTTCACCACAATAGAAACGTATATCTCTTTTCAAATCTTCACGAAAACATCTCGTGGTCCACCTATTTTTCTCAGCCTCTGTAATAATTGAAAATTCTTTGGGATTTATTCTATGTTCAATGGCATACTGATAAAGGCGATTTTTGTTTGGCGCCATTACCCGAGTTTCCAACGAGCTGTCTTGTATGATACGATTATCAGCATTTTCGCTTTGTGGGGATTTAGAAGTTTCAGACTTTATCCAAGGATCCAGTCCAGTCTCTTCCGTGTATGCTCTATATAATCTAGAACGAATTTTTTCTGTCTGAAAACTTGGTAAATCAACTAAATTAGCATGCCATTTGCAATAGTCATCAGTTAATATCTTGCTAGAGGTAGTATCAGAAGACATGTTATTGTTTTATATTAATGCAACTCAATTCAAAATCACCTAACTGCCAGACACAGAGTGTCCCGCTTTGCAGAGAAAAAAATATCACTATCCACTTGACCAGATTTATGTAATTATTTACTTACGCAGTTATTTCAATTTCTTGTTGTCCACATTTAATAAAATAAGATCCGGCTTCATATCTACCTCTTATACTTTTCTCATCCTTATGACTTAATTTACATGCTGGACATAACGACTTATCAATAATTCCATAATAATCGAATTTTTCACTACTAAATTCTTTATATATATCAGAATATCGATCCAATATTTTATTACGAAAATAAGCATGATCATGGGTTTGTATACTTACCTGAGGTGTGGATGAGATCTTAGTTTCTGGTAAGATATTATTAGCTGATACACTTTCAAATGAAGTCTCTTCGGGATGAGATACTATAGATGTACTTACCTCAGTCATATGAGTGCGTGACTTTAGGTCATGCGGTATAGCAATGAAATGCTTCTTGATTGTATCGATTTGCACATCAGTTAACTTTGAGAGTTTATTTGCACTATAAGTTTTAATTCGCTTAATTTTATCTTCTCCAATTATACTAAATAATTTGTATATAGGTTTAGTTCTTTGAGTTCTTTTATGCAAACTTATACGAGAAATACCTGAAAGATACTGTAGCATTTCATCATAAATCTGCCCACTTGCTAAATCATAGGCTCTCTTATCATTTCTTTGGTTTTCGGGTAAGATATCATCAAGTCTTTTTTCAAAATACTTTCTATATTGGTACCAGCTTGTAATTTCTTCCACTTTGGCTCGTTTAGTATTATTTTCTGCCAAGCTTATTTTTTCAAATAGATAGACCAATTCAATTGCGAGTGATTGCTTATCTGTAGAATTTTTATCAACATTAACAACTTTAACGGTATCTTCCACTAAAGGTTCTATTCTTAATTTTTCTATCAACGGCTATACGTCTATTTCAGGGATTTTTGTTTTTTGTAAGTCTGTATTTTGTTCTGAGGATTCTTCAGGTAAATTAGGAGTGTTACGAATAGATTGCGATTCCGAAATTTGTTTGACGTGTAATTTATCATAAGATTTTTGCGAGCTATTTGAATATGAGTTTTGGGCTTGAGAAGCGGAAGCTTCATTACTCTGTAATAACTTCTTTTTCCGATTCCTTTCTCTTATTTCGTTACGAATCTGTTCATTACGTCTTTTATTCAGAAAATTATTAATCCTTTTATCTTCCGATGATTTAGACTTTACACATATAGGTGATATAGTCAAAGATAAATTGGAGACTCGAGACTGATATCCATCAGAATTTAAAACATTATTGGATACATAAGATGCCAGAGCATCATTATTTTGCAAGATTGCCTGTTTAGAGGTGTCATCAGAATTTAAAATGTCATCAGTTATATCAGATACTGGGGTATCACCACATTGTAGAACTATCTGTTTGACAGTATCGTTAGATTTTAGTGGAGAGTGCAAAACATCTTTCGTAGAAATACTTTTTTCTTCTTTTGCGTGTATATTTCATGAATTTATTTATTTTATTGTAGTTATCGATGTATATTAACTCACATATGATCAAAGATTTTTCTTGGCAAAGCAAACGGCATGACTTTTTTAACTTTTTGGTCACGCACTCATTATTTCTATTTATTCAAACTTTTGAACATATCTGCATTTTGTATAAAAAAATGGCAAACACGCAATCCAAAGTTGATACATTGGAAGAACAGAATTCCAAACTTATAGCTGAGATTGCCGAGCTTAGAAAGGAGAATGCGAAGCTGAAGCAGATTATCGAGGAGAATGAAAAGCGCAATGTTAGAGTCGAGAAATTAGAGCAAAAGAATATAGAGCTTGAGACTAGGCTCGTTATATTAGAACAAGAAAAAGAAGAAAAAAGTATTTCTACGAAAGATGTTTTGCACTCTCCACTAAAATCTAACGATACTGTCAAACAGATAGTTCTACAATGTGGTGATACCCCAGTATCTGATATAACTGATGACATTTTAAATTCTGATGACACCTCTAAACAGGCAATCTTGCAAAATAATGATGCTCTGGCATCTTATGTATCCAATAATGTTTTAAATTCTGATGGATATCAGTCTCGAGTCTCCAATTTATCTTTGACTATATCACCTATATGTGTAAAGTCTAAATCATCGGAAGATAAAAGGATTAATAATTTTCTGAATAAAAGACGTAATGAACAGATTCGTAACGAAATAAGAGAAAGGAATCGGAAAAAGAAGTTATTACAGAGTAATGAAGCTTCCGCTTCTCAAGCCCAAAACTCATATTCAAATAGCTCGCAAAAATCTTATGATAAATTACACGTCAAACAAATTTCGGAATCGCAATCTATTCGTAACACTCCTAATTTACCTGAAGAATCCTCAGAACAAAATACAGACTTACAAAAAACAAAAATCCCTGAAATAGACGTATAGCCGTTGATAGAAAAATTAAGAATAGAACCTTTAGTGGAAGATACCGTTAAAGTTGTTAATGTTGATAAAAATTCTACAGATAAGCAATCACTCGCAATTGAATTGGTCTATCTATTTGAAAAAATAAGCTTGGCAGAAAATAATACTAAACGAGCCAAAGTGGAAGAAATTACAAGCTGGTACCAATATAGAAAGTATTTTGAAAAAAGACTTGATGATATCTTACCCGAAAACCAAAGAAATGATAAGAGAGCCTATGATTTAGCAAGTGGGCAGATTTATGATGAAATGCTACAGTATCTTTCAGGTATTTCTCGTATAAGTTTGCATAAAAGAACTCAAAGAACTAAACCTATATACAAATTATTTAGTATAATTGGAGAAGATAAAATTAAGCGAATTAAAACTTATAGTGCAAATAAACTCTCAAAGTTAACTGATGTGCAAATCGATACAATCAAGAAGCATTTCATTGCTATACCGCATGACCTAAAGTCACGCACTCATATGACTGAGGTAAGTACATCTATAGTATCTCATCCCGAAGAGACTTCATTTGAAAGTGTATCAGCTAATAATATCTTACCAGAAACTAAGATCTCATCCACACCTCAGGTAAGTATACAAACCCATGATCATGCTTATTTTCGTAATAAAATATTGGATCGATATTCTGATATATATAAAGAATTTAGTAGTGAAAAATTCGATTATTATGGAATTATTGATAAGTCGTTATGTCCAGCATGTAAATTAAGTCATAAGGATGAGAAAAGTATAAGAGGTAGATATGAAGCCGGATCTTATTTTATTAAATGTGGACAACAAGAAATTGAAATAACTGCGTAAGTAAATAATTACATAAATCTGGTCAAGTGGATAGTGATATTTTTTTCTCTGCAAAGCGGGACACTCTGTGTCTGGCAGTTAGGTGATTTTGAATTGAGTTGCATTAATATAAAACAATAACATGTCTTCTGATACTACCTCTAGCAAGATATTAACTGATGACTATTGCAAATGGCATGCTAATTTAGTTGATTTACCAAGTTTTCAGACAGAAAAAATTCGTTCTAGATTATATAGAGCATACACGGAAGAGACTGGACTGGATCCTTGGATAAAGTCTGAAACTTCTAAATCCCCACAAAGCGAAAATGCTGATAATCGTATCATACAAGACAGCTCGTTGGAAACTCGGGTAATGGCGCCAAACAAAAATCGCCTTTATCAGTATGCCATTGAACATAGAATAAATCCCAAAGAATTTTCAATTATTACAGAGGCTGAGAAAAATAGGTGGACCACGAGATGTTTTCGTGAAGATTTGAAAAGAGATATACGTTTCTATTGTGGTGAAATAGAAAGAAAAGAAGACCCTAGAAATCGTTACCTTTTTAAAATCATTACGGTTAATTTACCCCTTCAAACTGATACTATTTAAGTATCCGATCTAGAAATCTTTCCCTCCTTGAGTTGTGCCAAAAATTGAGTAAATTTCTGCAATCAATCCACCCTTG